GCACGCACCGTCGCCGAAAAGGATTTGCAGGAGGATGTGGCGAAGATCGACGATGATATCGAGCGGAGTTTCAAAAAGTTTGAGTATATACCGCCAGTGATACGCAAGCGCAAGTTCTTCCCTAAAACGCTGACCGAAACGGAGCGACTGAAGTCGATTATGCACAAGGAGAACTGCGTGCGACGTGATCTGGCGCGGGTGACACAGGAGTTCTACCTGGAGCGCACTGGCAAGCTCAAGCAGTTCCCGGAGGCGGCGCAGCAACTGCGCTGCGAGGAAAGCATTGAGGGCAGCGCTGCCACCACGCCCAGCGAGCAGAGTAGCGACGACGAGGACTATCTGAAGGTGGGCAAAATCGGTGACAAGTTCCAGCTGCGCGGCTTTCACTTCAAGCACGGCGATGGGCTGCGCGGCAAGCTGCATCGCCACCAGATCATGGAGGGTCAGCGTACGGTTAAGGGTTGCCTAACGCGCGACGAGTGGCTGAATCAATTGGCGCCCCGCAAGGAGCCCATCAAGCTGGACGTGGAGCGTGGCATTATTAAAGTTCTCGATCCGGATGATCCGAAACTGGATCTGTTCCCGCCTCAGGGTATGAGTCTGCACATGCACGACAAGAAGAGCGCCATCAGGGAGTTCATCGATAAGCGGCTGGGTCTCCACTACCATCGAGTGCTGCGCAAGAACCTGAAGCTGGTCAAGCCCAAGCTCAAGTATCACGTCAAGAAATTCAATCTCATTCGCTACGTGTTTCCCGAAAAGATCATTGTGCCGGATGCGCCGGATCAGTTGGATGCCGACATGGTTGACGCGTCCAAGGTGGAAACTACCTTGGAGTACTTGGCGCTCAAGAACAAATTGGCGAAGGCGAAGCATCTCAAGGTCAAGCTGGCACGCATGAAATTGCTGGGACTTCCCTGTGTCGAGGCCAAACAGCTGCGCGAGCAATCGCCCTGCGACGTCAAGGAGGAGGAGCTCGATCTGGACTGGGTGCCGCCACCGGAGACGGTTAGAGAGTCTGTGCTCACTGCTGGGGGCGAAAACGATCCCGAACATCGTATGAAGGCCGGCCACGACGATGTGCCCATTGATATGCGTGGCAACATGCCAGCGCCTCAATTCCGAGAGAAAACCCTCCACATACACCCGAGACGACGGCGGGACTATGCCGCCGAGCGTGTGCCATCGGCTCAGTTCAATGATGCCATCCAAAACTCAGGTCTGCCCTTGCTGGAGAAGGTAATGCCCGATAATATCAAGTATGCCAATGTGCGGACCCCAAAGCGTCCGTTCACGAAGAAGTTCGAGGCGCGCCATCATCACGACCATTGGGATCCCACCCAGGCGAAGACCGTGCACGTCCACTACCAGACCAAGACGGTCTACCCAAAGATCACAGTGCAAGAGCAGCCCGAACGAGTTCCGATTGTAAATTTTATCAAGGCAAATCCTCCATGCAAGAAGTATTTAGACACCGATCTGACCATAACCAAATATGATTTCGACAAGATGATCGCTGATCACTTGGCGGAGACTCGCGTTGATGCCAAGGATGGAGCCAGAGAAGTTGTGCAGGATCTATGTCGTCCGTATGATTTTATCTTTCACTCACGTGATCCGGAGGAGTTGGCGAACCTCGACTATCCAGGACGTAAACAGTATCTGGATTTCCTGCGAGAGACCCGCGAGGCTCTGTACGAGACGAAAGATATTGATCCGGAGGAGGAGCGCCTATTGGTTGACCGCAAGGCGGTTGAGGCTGAGCTCGAGGAGGATCTGAAGAGCATTGAGCAATGCCTCACCTCGCTTAGCAGCTCGGAATGCACAAATCTATCCAAAGACAGCGGCAGCTTCCTAATGTTAGAGGACGACACGAAAATACCTTTGGACTATATACGAAAGCCGCTCGTGCCATTTGAGGAAATGCGTCGCTCTCGCTTCCAAGCGGAAGTCATCGATGTCGATGCTGAAGAGGAGAATCCGTTCCGCATGCTTCCCTTCTCCGGCCAGCACAAGGAGCAGGCAGCCATGCTGGGCCCAAAGGATTCATTCTTTACGTTTAGCTCACGTCTGCGCAATGGCTTACGCCTGCGACTGGAGGTGCCCGTGACCGATGTTAGCCAAATGTTGATTGGACCCAAAGGCCGGAAGTACCATGGGTCGGTTATCACCGATCTCGATGAGAACTATATAAATGAGTTAAAAAACCGCGCAACCGTAAAAACGTTTAATTTCAAGACGGGCGTCGAACTATTGAAGGTTGCAATGCGTCTCAAATACGAATCGCTCTTGATTCAGGGCAAAATGGTGCGCACCAAGATCTACGACACACTGAACGAACGCCACTGGCAGGACATGAAGAACACCAAGCTGCTGTACGAGGGCCTGTTCGCCAAGTGGGAGAAGAAGGAGTATAATGCGGCCATGACGATGGTCTATCAGGTGAAGACCTACTACGAAATAACCGACTCAATGAAGCAGACCTACCGTGAACTGGAGCGTGAGTTGACAATGCTGAACATGGACATCGTGTTTATTGAGGGTCACTGGATACGCTGTGTGATGTTGCAGAACTTCCACTATCTGCTGGGCGAGGAGGAGTGGCGGGCCGAGCACGATTGGATCCATCTGGTGCCGGTGAAGAAACGCAACAAGTTCGGTAGTGACACCGCGTTGCTGGATCAGGCAGACTCCAAGATGACTCCGGCGGAACCCAAGGCGACTCCGGCGGAATCCAAGGCGTCTCTGGCGGACTCCAAGGAGAGTAAGGAGGAAGACGAGGACGAGGACGTTGAGTATGAATTGGAGCCCTACGACCAGTCCATTGCGAAGCGTGCCATAGTCAATATACGCGTGCGGGACAAAGATGATGCCTGGGCCATACGGGACTTCTATTATGACGTCTATATGCGCAATCTGCATCCCGTACTGCAGGTATTTCCCAATGCTGAGCACTTCCTGCAAGGCATCGAAAATTTGAAGAACAAGACGTTTATGCTCCTACTGGAAATGCACTACACCCTATCCGTGCACACCGAGCTGCAGGGTAGGCTGGAAACATTCGTAGACTGGTGCAACAAGGACCTGAAGGAGAAGCAGGAGTATGTGGCACGCAAGTCTGCCAAAAAATTCTTCATGGAAGATCGCGCCATTGAGATGGAGGCGCGCGTCAAATACTACCTAGATCAACCAATTCGAGAATCCTTTGCCGACGAGGACTTTAACAAGTATCGCGCCGTAATGGCTGAGGTCTATCGTCGCGTTGTCCCCGCCACGGTGCGTGGCTCCAGCGATGTTATACCCAGTGCCTCCGACATGGTGGCCGCCATCAGTGGCGTGGTCCTGGAGATATTGAGCAAGTTCGAGCACATGGACATTGACAAGGTGCGCGAAGTGGAGATGGCGCTGCGCAAGCGACGTCGCTACCTGGAGAAGCTCTCGGCTCAGGCCTATCAGATCGAGCGTCGCATCGATACAGAAATGAAGAACGTGCGACGCAACCTGGAGCCGCCCTACAAGAAGCCCAAGCGTGTGGGACCCCTTCAGCGCATGTACCTGAGAAAGCGTGTCAAGAAAATCATACCACCGCCCGTGGTCATCTCGGAGAACACAAGGAATTTCGTGCGCGCCTTTGCCGAGGATGGTGTCGTCAGCGATGGCTTCACCCAGGACTCTGTTATGGTGCTAGACAATATGCAGGAGCAGATAGTGCCCTTCTATTTCGATCACTTCCTCAAGCTGAACGGCTACACGCCCAACTACAATTTCAAGACGAACATTGAGATGCGCGATGGACCGGAGATTGAACGTTTTCGTATACGCGAGGTCCTACCGGACGTCCTCCAGAAGGTCGAGAACTGGGAGAATATGCACAAGAAGATCATGGAGGAAAATATTCAACGCAATCCCAAGATGTACGAGAATGTTAGTTAATCGACTGAAATGACAAAGGAATTTTAAGCTAATTGCAACAAATTTATAAAGTTAGGTAGTTTAAACAGTTAGCAATCAATTATATTAAATGAGAGTGGGTAAACTAATTCCTGTTTTGTATATAATTATTAGTATACCTTGGCTTTACACCAAGGATAAGCATATACCGTTGGTTATTGACTCTATGGTAGACCGCAAAACATTAAATCCAAAACATATATATATATATATCGAATTTGAATACCTCTATTATGGTTCATTTATAAATTTATTCAACTTCATATTAAATCACATTGGTCGGTAACGTTTAGGACATACCCCATTGAATTGTTCAGATGAAGCTGTTTTTTATATGTGAAAAGTCCATTCAGATATTTCAGCTGTCAGACAAATTTAGCATCGGGCAGATCTTTGCAAGATTCTTTAAGATCTTTGCAAAGTTTTCTTCGTCTAGAAACTCGGGAGTTAATTTCTTGCAGTCTGCATCTCTCGCTCTCCCTCTCGCAACTTTCCGTGTTACACTTAGTTTTTTACTTGCACTTCAATAATTTCAGCAAGTTTTCCGGAACAGCTTTCACTGACGCAGCTTTCGCCTCACAGCTGCTGGCTGTCTCTCTCCCACTCACTCTCTCCACTCTGCCTTTCCATTGTCCTCTGCTCAAGTTTGCGCTGCCTTGGTCGTCATTCTCTTTGTTTGACTTGGCAGCAGCTGCATTGGCCATTTTCATTTTCTACCTGATGTCCTACTTCATTGCCACCTGCATTGCCTAGTCTCTCTGTGAGTTTGTTTCCACTTCGAGTTTTTTTTTCGTTACTTTTTGTGTGATATTTGCACATAAATCACACAACTTTTCTTAAAATTATTTGCTGCTGCATTTTAGCAGTATTTTCTTTTTTTATTTATATTTTATACCCTGAACCCATTGAAAACGGGAAATCAGGGTATTATGGTTCTGTTGACATGTATGTGACAGACAGAAAGTATATACATATATAAGAATATTCTTGATCAGGGCGACGAGCCCTGTCCGTCTGTCTGTCTGAATGCTTAATAAACATACCATCCATTGAGTGTCATATCAATCAGCTTCTGTCATGCAGTCGCATCGCATTTAGCCTTTGCCTTAAATTCGCTAGAAGACCCACATTTATTTATATTGCTGTGAATCATATGATTATGTTTTCTATTTCGGGAGCAATGAGCATAAATTCT